TGGGCCAGAATGACCACGGAGGATGAGGAGGAGGAGGAGGAGATGAAGGAGGAGCAGGAGGAGGAGGAGGAGGAGGAGGAGGAGGAGGGGGAGGAGGAGGAGGAGGAGGAGGAGGAGGAGGAGGAGGAGGAGGAGGAGCGAGGGTGAGAGTGGGGGAGGACAGGAGGGAGGAGGAAGGAGCAGGAGGAGAGAGGATGCAGTTCCAAGGGCTTCAGTCGAATGAGAGCTCGGCGTTCCACTGCCGCCTGCTGCTCTTCTGCAACATCGCCTGCAAGCAGTCCGGCATCGACCCCGACTGCCCATGCACCTGGCACCTCGGGCGACCCGGCACTCCTGCCACCTGCGTCGCTGGCTGCCCTGCCCGCCTCCCCTCCCGCCCGGTCCCTCCTCCATCCCCTCCTGGCCCCGCCTCCTCCACCTCGCCCCTCCTCCCACCCCTCCCGTCCCCTCTATCTCCTCGCCCTCTCTCTAGCACTGGCACGGGCGGCCCAGTTCCCTCGGAGCCATTTGGTTCCCAGAGGAGTTGATGTCGCGCCCCATGATGACAAGTAGCGCTTGAGGTGCACTTGGGCCACCACACGTTATTGCAGCTCCTTCCTCACATGGCAAATTGTACGAATAGTGCAGGTCAAGCTGAGTCTGCTCTGCCGTGCATGGTGTCACGATGCATGGTGCAATATGATTGCCTTCACGTCATGCTGCCCCAGGCTGCAGGTAGGCGGCACGGGATTCAGGTATTCAACGTGATTCCTCCCACGGGCAGTTAAGGTGTTTCAAAATGATTCCTTCCACGGCCCGTCCAAGGCTGCAGGTAGGAGTCTCGTGAGCTACGAGCTCATCCAAGTCCTCCTCCCTGCAACCTGCGCGCACGTCAAGGGACATGGCTGCAATTTTTGGCGTGCGACAGCCAGTCCTTCCGAGATGAGAAGCCGAGCTTCGGCGTATCTGCTAAGGCTGTCGGCGCTCGTGCGGCGTGGGCGTCTTCATCCAGCACAGCTGTGCAAAATACTCTGGTGTACAGGCTTCGACACTGCATGCCCTGTTTGGACATTTACATCACACATACGAGGAAGGACATAGCTTCGCAAGGTCCTCGGCAACTCTTTCTTAATGCGTGAAGCACAGACGGACTGCTGCTGCCCAGGTTCCAGCGACGAATTGTGGATGCGTGTTCGGAATTGTTGGTTGCGGAGGGACTCGCCGTGGCTGTGTATGCTCTGAGGAACACGCCGTACTTGTCGGCATGGCTGTCGTTGATTTCTTCTCCTCGTGGACTTAATGGAGTACAGAGGTGATTCTCGACATCCATGTGACTTCATTATCAGTGTCTCTCCTCGCACCCCTGCTGACTCCCTCCCCTCAATCCCATCCCTTGCCGCTCCCGTCCTGCCTGCACCGGACTTGTAATATGACCCCACAGCGCGAGAGCTCTCCCCTCCTCCCTCCCCCATCCTCCCTCCTCCTCCTCCTCCAGCTTCTCATCCTCCTTCTCCTCCTCATCCTTCCCCCTCTTCCCCTGCCTCTGCGTGTCCTGCCTCCCCTTCCGCCTCCCTTGTCCTCAGTCCGTTCCTCACCCTCCCTTCCTCCCCCTCCACTCCCCGCCCCCAGGTAGCCCGAATCTCCCCAAGACGGCCCCATGATCCGCCCAAGAGAGCCCCGAGCGACCTTGGCCAAAAGATCCCTGCAGAGGCCTTCGAATAAGCAACGCAGCAAATACGCCGCGCTGCGGGCACGCAGTGGAAACAGCGGCTGCGGCCACAGCGCAAGGATCACTATGGTGATCGTGGTGGTGGCGAGTGCGGTGGTGGGTGCGACGATCGTGGTGGTGATGAGTGTGGTGATGACCGGAGCACCCCATGACCGCTTGAGCGGCCGGGGGGGGGGGCACCGCGGAACACCCAGGAGATGCCGTCGCGGCCGTTCTGTAGGACCCCCCACAGCTTTTCGGGTCTCCGAGGGAAAGGAAACAGAAGGGAAAAACGAGGATACTAGAATGGGAAAGCAAGAGGATAGGCGAAGAAAGAGGCAAAGGGAGGAAGAAGAGGGGTGGTGGAGATAAGCAAGAGAACTGGTGGCATTTAGTTGGCCCCAGGGCGCTCGCGGTACTACGTGAACTCGCCACGATGCCGATCTCACAGTGAGTCGCCCCGTCGATCTCCCTCTGTCGATTTCACCATCTCCCGTGGCTGAGCGGTCGATATCCATATCTAATTCGGCCAATCGATTTCAGCTTCCCGATCTCACTTGACCGATGTCATTATCGGTTTCGCTCTATCAATCTCGATATCGACCCTGTGCCGGTTGATGGTGAACCGTTTGGCCTCTGGTTCTCTTCGATCTCACCCCCAAGTCTGAATATCGATCTCATTAGCGATCCTGGAAACCACCTCGATTCGATCGGGGCACCATCGGGACACCGCCATGCCATCGGGACAACATCGGGGCACCGACGGGGACACATCGGGACACCATCAAAACACCACCGGGGCACCATCGGGACACCAATCGAGACGCCAACCGGTACAACACCAGGACACCACCAAGACACCATCGGAACACCAATCGGGACACCGACGGGACACCACCAAGACACCATCAAAACAACATCGAAACACCACTGGGGCACCATCTGGACACCCATCGGGACACCAATCGGGACACCCACGGGACACAAATCGAGACACCAATCGGGGCACCGACGGGACACCGACCGGACACCGACGGGACACCGACGGCGGGACACCGACGAAACACCGACGGGACACCAGGACACCGACAGGACACCGACGGGACACCGACGGAGAACCGACGGGACACCGACGGGACACCGACGGGACACCGACGGGACACCGACAGGACACTGACGGGACACTGACGGAACACTGACAAAACACCGACGGGACACCACGGCGGGACACCCCTGGCCACTTTCCGCGGACACCGACGGACACCTCGGCGGGACACCACGGCGGGACACCACGGCGGGACACCCCCGGCCACGCTGGCCCACCGGAGGGGCGGTCTTTTGCCTTGACCTGCCCTAGCCACAGCGGGGTCATTCCTCCCGCCTGCCCACGCAGCGTCGCCTCGCCCGCACGCACGACCCGAAACAGACACCGAAACCGATTTCCCGATGGGGGATTCTCCATACCACTTCGATCCCACCCCCCAAACCCCAATATACTGATAGGACCACCCTACGATTGATAGGGAGGTTGAGGGGGGGGAGGAACCAACGTCTCACTCGATCGGTCTCACTATCGATCTCACTATCGATCTCAGTATCGGTCTCGCTCGATCGATCTCCCTCGATCGATCTCACAATCGATCTCACTCGATCTATCTCACAATTGATCTGACTATCGATCTCACAATCGATCTCACAATCGATATCACATTCGGTCTCACTATCGATCTCATTGTCGATATCACAACCGCTATCACAATCAACGTCATCATCATCATCAACAGCAGCATCAACATCAACATCATCATCACCAACATCATCATAATCGGGACACCGTCCTCATCATCAACACCAACATCATCATCATCACGGTCATCAACATCATCGGGACACCACCATCATCATCATCATCATCATCATCATCATCACCATCATCACAATCATCATCAACATCATCATCATCAGCAGCATCGGGACACAGTCATCGTCATCATCATCAGCAGCAGCATCATCATCGGGACACCATCATGATCACCATCGTTATCATCATCATCATCAGCATCATCATCATCATCCTCATCATCATCATCATCGGGACAACATCATCATCATCTCATCCTCATCATCGACATCATCATCAGCATCATCAACATCATCATCAGCATCATCATCGTCATCATCGGGGAACCATCATCATCATTACCAACAACAGCATCAACATCATCATCATCACCATCGGGACGCCATCATCATCAACATCATCATCACCATCAGAATAATCATCATCATCATCGGGGCGCCATAATCATCATCAACCTCATCATCATCAACATCATCATCGGGACACAATCATAATCAGCATCATTAACATCAACATCATCATACTCATCATCATCGGGACACCATCATCGTCATCATCATGATCATCAACATAATCATCATGATCATCATCATCCTCATCATCGGGACACCATCAGCATCATCATCATCATCGTCATCATCATCATCGACATCATCATCATCATCATCGGGACACCATCATCATCATCATCATCATATCATCATCATCATCATCGTCCTCATCATCATCATCATCAGCATCACCATCATCATCATCATCGTCATCATGATCATTATCATCAGCAGCAGCATCATCATCATCATCATCAGCATCACCATCATCATCATCATCATCATCATCATCATCATCGTCATCATCAATAGCATCATCATCATCGCGGGACACCGCGGGACACCGGCGGGACACCGCGGGGCACCGCGGGACACCGCGGGACACCGCGGGTCACCGGCGGGATACGGGCGGGACACCGCGGGCCACAAGCCGCCCGGAAGGGAATCATTTGGTCCGGCCGCGCCTCAGCCACACGGGACACCAGCGGGACACCGTCGGGACACCGCGGGCCACCGGCCGCCCGGAAGGGAGTCATTTGGTCCGGCCGCGCCTCAGCCACAGGAGACTTTCTCTCGCCCGCCCACGCAGCTTCGCCTCGCCCGCACGGCACGCACGAACACGAAACCGAAATCGATTTCACGGTAGGGGGGCTCTCCGTTCCACTTCGATCTCACCCCCTCACCTCCGACTGATACTGATAGGACCACCCTACGGGTGATAAGGAGGTTGAGGGGGGGTGAGGGTGAGGTGGTAAATTTGCGGTGGCTCTGGGTTCTTGGGTGGTTTCTTCAACTTTCCTATTGCCGCGCACATCTACCCATCGATCGATCAATGTACCATTCGATCAACCTATCAATATACCTATACGACCACCCTTCGGGTGATAAGGAGGTTCGGGGGGGGAGGATGCAGCGTGTCACTCGATCGGTCTCACTATCCATCTCACTATCGGTCTCGCTCGATCGATCTCACTCGATCGATCTCACAATCGATCTCACTCGATATATCTCATTCGCTCGGTCTCACAATTGATCTGATTATCCATCTCACAATCGATCTCACATTCGGTCTCACTATCGATCTCACTACCGATATCACAATCGATCTAACATTCAACGTCATCATCATCATCATCATCATCATCATCATCATCACCAACACCATCATTTTCATCGTCATCGGGACACTGTCGTCATCATCATCATCATCGTCATCATCATCAACGCCATCATCATCAGGCCATCATCATCATCCCCATCATCATCTCATCATAGTCAGCAACATCATCATCATCATCATCATCATCATCATCATCATCACCATCGGCACACAGCCTTCGTCATCATCACCATCACCATCATCATCATCGGGACACCATCATGGTCACCATCATTGTCATCCTCAGAATCATCAACAACATCGGGACACCATCATCATCATCATCATCACCATCATCATCATCATCATCATTTAATCATCATCATCATAATCAACAGCATCATCAACATCATGGGGACACCATCATCAGCATCAGCAGCATCATCGTCACCAACATCATCATCAATATCATCATCGGTACACCATCACCATTACCATCATCATCACCACCGTCATAATCATCATCATCGGGATACCATAATCATCATCAGCAGCATCATCATTACAAACATCATCATCAACAACAACGGGCAGAAACATCAACATCATCGTCATCCCATCATCATCAACACCATCATCAACATTACCAGCGGGACACAGCCATCGTCATCATCACCATCAACATCATCATCATCGGGACACCATCATGGTCACCCTCGTTGTCATCGTCAACATCATCAACAACATCGGGACACCATCATCATCATCATCATCAACTCATTATCATCATCATCATCATCATCAACAGCATCATCAACATCATCGGGACACCATCATCATCAGCATCATCATCACCAACATCAGCATCAATATCATCATCGGTACACCATCACCATCACCATCATCATCACCACCGTCATAATCATCATCATCGGGATACCATAATCATCATCAGCAGCATCAGCATTGCCAACATCCTTTACAACAACGGGCAGAACATCAACATCATCGTCATCTCATCATCATCATCATCAACATCATCATCATCATCATCATCATCATCATCATCACCAGGACACCATCATCGTCATCATCATCACCATCAACACAACCATCATGATCATCATCAACATCATCATTATCGGGACACCGACGGGGCACCGACGGGACACCGGCGGGACACCGCGGGCCCCCGGCCGCCCGGAAGGGAGTCATTTGGTCCGGCCGCGCCTCAGCCACACGGGACACCAGCGGGACACCGTCGGGACACCGCGGGCCCCCGGCCGCCCGGAAGGGAGACATTTGGTCTGGCCGCGCCTCAGCCACAGGATCTCTCGCCCGCCCACGCAGCTTCGCCTCGCCCGCACGGCAAGCACGAACACGAAACCGAAATCGATTTCCCGGTGTGGGGGCTCTCCGTTCCACTTCGATCTCACCCCCTCACCTCGGATCAATATTTCAATATACCGATCTACCTATCGACGCATCCATCCATATGTCAATGCATCACTCTATCAATGGACCAATGGATCAGTATATATACACAGCTATATATACATATCCCCTACCTACCTACATTTCTATAGATATGTATATATATACCATGCATGTACATATCTACCTATGTCACATTAGGACAGCATCAGGACAGCTATCCCGACAATCATCGGGACAACCATCGGGACAACCACAAGGATAGCCATCGGGACAACCATCGGGGCAACCATCGGGACAACCATCGGGACAACCATCGGGACAACCATCAGGCCAACCATAAGGACAACCATCGGGACAATTACCGGGACAACCATCGGGACAATTCGGGACATCCATCGGGACAACCATCGGGACAACTATCAAGACAACCGCTGGGACAACCATCGGGACAACCATCGGGACAACCATCGGGACAACCATCGGGACATCCATCGGGACAACCATCGGGACAAGTAAAGACAACCGCCGGGACAACCATCGGGACATTCATCTGGACATCCATCGGGATAACCGCCTAGACAAACGAATAGAGCCACGACCGGCCGACGGGTGGGAGGGCGGCCCTTTTGGCAATAGATGGCCCCTACCAGTGCAAGAACTCGCGCAATTTCGCCTCGCCCGCACGAATAGCACGAACCGTAACCGAAACCGATTTCCCGATTGGGGCCGCTTCCGTTCACATCCCCCAACCTCGGAATCTCTCCATCTATAGGTCTCTATCTATCCATCTATCGATATCGATATCTATAGCTGTATCTATATATATATGTGTGTGTGTATGTTTATGTTCTGTCCATATATATGTATATATATATACATGCCTATACATATACATTTATACATATTGTTATACAGTTCACTATAACGATGTATATATATAGATACCAATATATGTGTATATGAACATATGTATCCATGTATCTAACTCGTCAGCTATGTGTATATTTAGGTATGTCTACATAATGTCCTGGTATATCTGCAGTCGAACCATATACTTATATATTGCAAATGTGTATACGTAGGTGCATATGTCTATACATATACATGTGTACAAATATACATACATATCTATATACGTATTCATAAATTTGTATATATGTATGCACCTCGCTATGTAGGTGTGTATATATATGTGTGAACAGTTACTTCCATGTGTATGTATACATATGTTTGTGTATATATATATATATATATACCAACGGGACAAGCATCGGGACAACCATCGGGACAACCATCGGGACAACCGTCGGGCCAACCATCGGGACAACCATCGGGACAACCATCGGGGCAGCAGTCGGGAATCGGGATAACCATCGGGACAACCGCAACCATCGGGACAACCATCGGGGCAACCACCGGGACACCCATTGGGACAACCACAACCATCGGGACAACCGCCGGGACAACCGGAAGCCACGCCCGGCGCTCGGGGGGGGGGCGGCCCTTTTGGCAATAGATGGCTCCTACCAATGCAGGACCTCGCGCAATTTCGCCTCGCCCGCACGAATGGCACGAACCGTAACCGAAACAGATTTCCCGGTTGGGGCCACTTCCGTTGACACCCCCCAACCTCCGATGCCGCTCAACTCAGAGATCTGGCCCCGACCGCCGCCGGCGGCGCCGTCGTCGCCGTGTTGCTGTCGTTGCTGCCGCCGCCGTCGCCGCCATCGCCGTCGCTGTCGTCGCCGTCGCCGACGTCGCCGCCGTCGCCGCTGCCGCGCGGTCCATACAGCGGCTGTCTGGGCCCAGCGCGCGCCGGTCCAGTTCTCGGGGATTTGGCAGGGGGTCTCGGTGCGCCCGTCCTGTGCCGCGGCAGCGCCCAAGGCCTGCTGGCGATACAACGCACTCGTCCTCCTCCTCGTTGTCGTCGTCCTCCTCCATCCATCTCCTATATAAATAACCCCACCCTGTCGCACCAGCATGCGTGACGTGAATGCAATCTGAGCGTTTCGCTGGAGGCTTCCCCACAACGCAGGACCTCGAAGCCTGGAGTTGCCAACTGCTGTGCGGATGCCGCACTGCTCGCTTTCAGCACGGGGCTCCTGCCCAGGTGCCGCCAGAATTGGGGCTCCCGCCTCAGAGTTCCTTGAACGTAGCGGCCCGAGTCTCCCGACTGTGCACGGCTGCGCGGATGGAAGGCGGCTCCAATCTTTGGTTCGGCCCTCGCTTGGGAATTCTTCTCGGCGGTGGACAAACCTCCCTTCAATAAACCTCCCTTTCGTGAAAACGGTCGAGGACCGAAACCGACGGGTCTGGACCCGCAAAAATGACGGCCGCGACGCCCTCTCGCGAACCGAGAACGGCCAATTCGCTAATCGACGTGTCAGGGTAGGCGGTCTATTAACCTCTGATCTTCTTAATTTGCAAAAGGACCTTTAGACTTGCGAGCCGCGTTCGTCTGTCCAGGGGGGGCGGCTCCCGCTGTGGCAAGAAGCACTTGCAGGGACTGCTGGGGAGGGCGCTTGGGATGGAAGGGTGTGTCTATTGCAACATCATCTATGCATCCTTGGTTATGCTCGATACCTCCTCCTCCTCCTCCTCCTCCTCTGGCTCGTCCTCCCCATCGATCTTCACCTCCTCTCTTCCTCCTTCTCATCTTCTTCCTCGTCCTCCTCCTCGTCCACTCCCAGCCCTCCTCCCATCCTCCATGTGCCGACTCATCCACACATACTCCCCCCCATCCTCGTCCCCGACCTCCTTCTCCTTATCCGCTCCCTTCTCCTCCCCCACCCCCTCCTCTCCCTCCTCCCCACTCTTATCCTCCCCTTCTACAGTATTCGGCCTGACCTAAGGAACGATCAATAAGGAACGAAGGCCCTTTTTTCCGAGTAGATCTAGGAAGCCCGAAGGAACACCAGGGGGGCTCGCCGCCACAACGGTAGCGGAACGCGTGCACACCAAAAAAACGACCGAGCCCCTTTTGAAGAGCAGGTGCTCCTTATTCAAGCCAGACCCTGTACGCCGTCCCCTCCTGTGTCCCCTCCTCCTCCACTGGTGGGACGAATGCGACAACATAAGCTGTATGTTGCGCTCTTCCCATCATCTCTCACTCTTTCTCCTTCTCGTTCTCTCTCTCTCTCTCTGCCTCTGTATGTAGTCGTTCGTCTGTCTCTCCATCCCTCTCGCTCTCTCTCTCTCTCTCTCTCGCTCTCGCTCTCTCTCTCTCTCTCTTGCTGAATCTTCTCCTAAGTAACCTCCCCGCCCTCCTACTTCATCTCATTTCCGAACCTCCTCATTTCTCCTCCATTCCCTCTTCCTTTGCATTCTCCGATGCCGAACGATTCTCCCCCCATCTACCTGCTGCCCCTCTCCCTCCTCTGGTCTTCCCCTCTTCCTCCCCTTGCCCATCCCAATCCGCCTCCCCCTCTTCCTCTCCTCCTCCTCCTCCGACGGCCACCCCAGTATTCCCTTCCTCCTGTCGCTGTCGCTGCTGGCATCAAGGTCGATGTCGACATTTCTCTTCCTCCTCCTCCTCCTCCTCTTCCTCCCTGGTCCCTGCTACAGGGGGAAGAGGAGGAGGAGGAGGAGGAGGAGGAGGAGGAGGAGGAGGAGGAGGAGGAGCAGCAGGAGCAGGAGGAGGAGGACGAGGAGGAGGAGGAGCAGGTCAGGAGGCCGGGGAGGAGGGGGGGAGGGAATAGGGGGTGGAAGGGGGGACGACGGCGGGGGGAATCGGAGGGAGTGAAGACGGGGCTGGGATCCAGCCCCTGCGCCCCACGCCCGATGGCACTCCCCCTGCCGTCGGTGCCTGCCGCACCAGCCGCGCCTCCGTGCCGCTCACGGGCCGGCAGTTCTCGCCGGCGGCGCCGCAGCCCTTGGCGCACTTCGTGCCTCGTGGAACGGCGACGACGACGACGACAACGACGACGACGACTTTCACGACGACGACGACGACGACGACGACGACGACGACGACGACGACGACGACGACGACGACGACGACGACGACGACGACGACATTCACGACGACGACGACGACGACGACGACGACGACGACGACGACGACGACGACGACGACGGCCCGCGTACACCGATCCTGGTCACGCCAGTCCGGACGCAAGAACGGTGCGGCGTATCCACCGATCCCTGGTGCTAGGGGGCCCAAGAATATACACCACAACCACCACCACCTCTCTCAGCCCCCCCTTCTCCCAGGAGAGAGGAGAGGAAGAGGAAACCAGAGGTGGGAGGAGGAACGGAGGTGGTGGTGGTGCATACTCTTGGGACCCGCACGGTGCAGGATTGGCTTGGCAGGGTCCGTGTATGCAGGCGGTTTGCACGCTGCGCGCCGTTGAAGAGGTTGTGCCAGTTGAAGTGGCGCAGGGGGGCGGCGTTGACCGCCAGAATCCCCGTTCGCTGGCACTCCGCCTGAGAAGGAGGGCGAGGACGGAGAGGGGCAAAGGACGAAAAAGGAGGTAAAGACGAGGACGAGGAGGGAGAGGAAGGAGAAGGTGGAGGAGGACGCACGGGCAGACGGGGTGGACATCGTTGCGTGTGCTGGCCTTGCCCAACTCCGCGACGGTGTCCCAGAAGGTGTCCGTGTACCTCGAAGCAGGGAAAGTTAGACAACGGCAGCTCAAAATCGAGCCCCGGACCCCTCCGCGTGTCAAAACGCACAGGTTTTCCGAGCTGCGTCCAGCCCCCCTGGCCACGAGGGGGCCCCCGAAGGCCAACGACTGCTGTCTCAACTCGCCATCCTCCGAGTACCAGGCGCTAGTACGGTCGTTGCCTGCGATGCGCTCGTGGACGGCGGCCCAAATCTTGGCGGATATGACCGGTATCTGAACATCTGTGCGCACCGTCTCGTAGGCGAACGTGAAGCGGCCGTCGTCGAGGACACCCCGCATGCGCAGGTCCAAGATGTCCGTGCCCCTCATGCCTGGCTCCTTGCGGCACGAGCGAGATGGGTACGGAAAGGATGGGGACGAAGACCAACAGCAATTACTGCGTCGTCGCGGACGTTGTCGATTTGGGACAGCAAGTCTAGATGAGCGCGTTCCACTACTCGCAAAGTGACTACTCGCAAATGGCCTGGATCCGCCGCGGGGGATCTACGATACATTACATCGAAGCGGACACGGTGTTTTTTCGGAAGTTTGCGAGCAGGCACTTTGCGAGTAGCGGAACGCGCTCGGTGAAAGTCGCCTGCCCAAGAGTGGCCGCTGCCGGTTTGGGACAACGTTCGCTGTTGGCCGTGTACCCAGTTTGTGTCCCTACCCATTTCGGGCGTGCCGGTCCTTCCCGATGACCACGGGCTGCGACACGACTGGATCGAGCGTCGAGAGCACGGTCCTGTAAAAGTCCCAGGACAGGAAGTCCATCTGCAGGTCCTCGTCGAGCAGCCACAGGTAGTCGTAGCCCGCAGCCATCTCCGGCGTGATCGTCTCCCAGAACTCCGGCTTGCATCCGCGGCCGAGGTGCTTGAGGACCACCGTTCCGTTGTTGCCATACCACGCCTGCTGCGCCCACTGCTCGTTGCTGCCGTCGTGGTGGAACAGAGCGAACTCGAACTTGTCTCCTGCCTTGTTGCTCCTCAGCCTCCTCAAATTGAAGTTGAAAATGTCAACGCTCTCCGCTGCATCCTTCACAGCGATCGCGACGAGAATCCTGTAGGGCGTCTCGCGGGCCCCGCCCGGATGGTCCTCGAGGAGCTGCCTGGCAAGCTTGTCTTGGTACGCACGCCAGGCCGTGACGGCGAGTGGAAGGGTCGCACCTTTGGGAGGGGTTCAGGGCATGCACCACGCTGCCGTGTCAGCCTCGGGATTCGATGTACACACGCTCCAGCCTCCCAGACCCTGGGAGTGCTGGGGCGTCTATACACCGAATCCCTTGCGCCGAAGTCCTTGGCCCCTCCCTTGGCCGATCAAACGACGTGGTGACGCCCCTGCGACCTTTAGGTGGCGACATCTGGATCCTATCCCCACCAACCATCGATTCTCGTGAATCGATGGGGGGCGTGGGCATGTTCGGATCTCGCCACATGCTCAGCGAATTCCGAACCCTGCCCCCGCCGCCCATCGAGTTTCCTGAATCGTGGATCCGCGAAGGTGGGGCTAGGTCGGGCATGTCCCCCTACAGGCGGACTTTGGACGACAAATTCAAAATACCCCAAAAAATACACCCAAAATAGTTCAAAAAGGATGGACAAATCGCCTCAAGACAATTTTTTTACTATGTGTGAATCTTCCTCCTGTAGAGGGACAGGCTCGACTTAAAGGGTAGGGTTCGGATTTCGCTGCCAAGCTTCCCACCGTCTTGACGAGCTCTTCCACGGGTGAGCAAAACCCGGGGGTGAAGAAAAACCCTGGGGTGAAAACAAAAAAAACTAATTTTGGGGGGTGAACAAAAAAAAAGGTTGCTTCACCCCCCGGGTTTTGTCACCCCCGATTTGTTCTACCTTTCGCCGCCGAGCCTTTCTCCACCGTTTGTTCCGCTTTCGCCGCCAAGCCTTTCGCCACCTTCTACCGATGTTTTGTTCACTCTCGCCGCCGAGCCTTTCTCCACCGTCTTCACGAGCTCCTCCATGTGGCCGCCCTCCTCGATGCAGGACGTCACGCGCTGCCGGCTCTCCTCCGCCGTCAGGGTCCTGTGGGCCGCCTGCCGGACCTGGCGGCGCTCCTCCCGCTTCCTTGGGGAGGGCAGCGATCGGAGGTGAGGGGGTGAGAGATCGAAGTGGAACGGAGAGCCCCCCGACCAGGAAATCGGTTTCGGTTTCGTGTTCGTGCGTGCCGTGCGTGCGGGCGAGGCGGAGCTGCGTGGGCGGGCGAGAAATAAGTCTTCTGCGGCTGAGGCGCGGCCGGACCAAACGACCACCCCTCGGGTGATAAGGTTGTGGGGGGGGGGGAGAGGGGGGGAATTCAAAAATCTGACTCAATCGATCTCACGATCGATCTCACTTTTTGAGACACCACGGGACACCACGGGCCACCTCGGGGCACCACATCGATCTCAGTATCGATCTCACTATCGATCTCACTCAACGCGACACCACGGGATACCACGGGACACCTGTCGATCTCAATATCGATCTCACTATCGATCTCACTTTTTGGAACACCACGGGGCACCACATCGATCTCAATATCGATCTCACTATTGATCTCACTATCGGTCTCACTATCGATCTCATTTAACGGGACACCACGGGACACCACGGGACACCGCGGGACACCGCGGGACACCGCGAGCCACCGCCGGACGTACGGACGGACGGGCGAGCGGGGGAGAATCATTTGTCTCGACTTCGCCCTGGCAACGGCGGACACCGCGGGACACCACGGGGCACCACAGGTCGGCGACAGGCCCCCAGTAGCAAAACCGAACGTTTCTGGGCTATCATATCCCCGTTGGCGATAACTGAGCGATCGGCGGTCGAGGTCCCCCCCCCTGAGCATAGTCTGCCTCCCTGACGTTGCCCCTGATTAGGGAACAGCAAAACAGCCAGATCAGCTTTGGGTTCAGGGGGAGTTGACGTGACCGATCGGTCTTGGAACTGCCCCGTCTGGTCAGCGCCCAGGCCTTTGGAGGAAGCACCTTCGAACACGAGACAACGCCATACGCACAAACTTTCGGAGGTCCGCGGGGATTTCTTGGATCGGCGCTGGGCCCACCTACCTGGCGCGCTCCGCGCGCCAGGGGCGGCGCCAGAGGCGCCGCCATGGCGCAGATCCGAGAAATCCGCGCCGAGCCCCGCAAGTTGATGTTTATGCAGTTGCTGCTTCCTCGACTGACTGGATCGGGATCCACCAAAGGGGGCGTGCCCCTGAGGCGGGGCATTCGATCCGTTGGTGTACCGAACTGCCGCAAAGAGATGCCCCCCGCATGCCCCACTTGATCATCGGCAACTATCGGGAGCTGCGGGCAGCTGGGGATCTGTTTTGGGCGGTTCGGTGCAAGAACCGATCGAACTCTCTCTCTCACACACACCACACACACACACACACACACACACACGGGGGGGGGGGGCACACACACACACGGGGGCACACACACACACACACACACACCCTTGGCGGGATCCCGACTGAAGGGACCCTGCCGACCCGAACGCCGAACGCTGACCAGACCCCTGTGCTGACTCCGACCGGCTCCTGGCTCCCCACGCGCCCGGCGGCGGCCCCGCCGCGGCGCCCACCTCCAGCATGCCCAGCCTCTTGCGCCCGCTCGCGCAGCACATCTCCAGGCTCTCCTCTCGGCGGCTGCCCAGAGGTGCCCGTGGCCCACGGTGCCCTCCCCTCTCGCCGCATCCTGGAGCCCCCAGGGGGCCGCCTCGGGGCCTCGTGAGGGGTACCCTGGAGCCCGTGGGGGCCCCCCTCGGAGATCCTGGGGGCACCCCCGGCCAGGGGCACTTCTGGGCACCCCCCCCCCTCCCCGCTCCTTGTCCTCGAACGGGCGCCCGTTCCGGCAGCGCGCGAAATGGTCCGGCCCCGTCCCCTGCGACCTCGCCCTGCCCGGCGCGGCGCCGCCCGGTGGCGCCGCCGCCTCGCCGGCCTGGCCCACGGCCAGGCCCGAGACCGCGCAGGCGCACGCGGCCAGGCACGCGACCCGCACCGCCGCAGCCATGCTGCAGGCGGCCGCCGCAGAGCCGCCAGCCGCCACGCTGCGGGGCGGCCGCCGAAGTCGGCCACACGCAACGGCGTCGGCGACTCCTCAAGGTGTGGTTTGCCAAGGGAATGGTTTGCAACCGGCACCCCGAGGGGAACCCTGGGGGGTGGGTGAGGACCTCGACAGAGCTCTCCGCCGCGCCCCCAGGAGGCCCGACGAGGACAGCGTCGTGCCCCCCAGGCCCAGACGGTGCCGATCGCACACCACACCCCGGCGTAACCGTACCCTTTGTAGTCGCCGAGAGTGACCTTCTCAGCAAGATATGACCCGTGGCTCGCAGCTTTCAGGGGTGCGCATGGCGGGGCCCAACCCAAGCGCGCAAGCCGATGCCGCCGCATCGCGCCCAGCGGCCCGAGGACGAGGGCCCGCACCACGGGCCACTCCGGCCAAGGGCCGCCCCTGCGTGCAGTCGGCGGAGGCCACGGCGCGAGAAGCAAAAGTGTGTGGCCGCGAGGCCCCGGCGTGCGCAGCCCGCTGCCGCAGCAGCGGGCGCACGCGCGGGCCCGCTGCCTGGAGCGCACGGTATCGGACGGAGCGGCAGGAGGGCTGGCTTCCGCGCCCCGCCTGCCCGGAAGCGCCCTCGAGCCCAGGTGGCCCCGAGCGCGCCCCTGTCGCCGACGAGCTCGGGAACCGGCACGAGCGACGCCCCGATCATGGGCGTCCCCCTCTCCCCCTCCCCCTTGCCCTCCTTCTCGTGTCATTATTCCTCCTCCGCCTCCTCCTCCTCCTCCTCTTCCGTCTCCTCCTCCGTCTCCTCCTCCTTCTCCTCCTCCTCCTCCTCCTCCTCCTCCTCCTCCTCCTCCTCCTCCTCCCCCTCCCCCTCCCTTCCAGCTTCCTCTTCCTCATCATGGAACCAGGATCGATTGATCGAGGACCGACGGTCGACGATGGGATGGTTAAAGCAACGACAGCGAATATGAAACGTGCCTCGTGCAAAGAGATGGTAACTCGCAAACTTGGCATCGACCTTCCAGGACCAACACAGTTCAGTCAGATCTAAAAATGAGCGTCGTCAAACTGGGCTTGACCCTATCGGCACCAGTAGGTCTTAAGAATAGGCAGACTTTCTGGGAAGATGCCTACTCTTGTCAGAAACTGCAGGCAGCAGCATGGAGCTGCCTGGATTCTAAACAGTAGCTCCTGCGCGTCCAATCTGCAGTGACACCAGCCGAGCCCTCGTGGCCTCCCTCGAAGCTCTCGTGGCCTCCCGCCCCGCCTCCCTGCCCGCCCCTCGTGGTGGCCTGTCCGCCGCTCGTGCACGCGAGTACGGCACCAGTGCGCCGTGCCATGTCTGGACTGCCTTCCAGGCACCGCTCCCACGCGGTGCCTTGGCTTTGCGGCCCTGAGGGTCGAACAATTTCAACCGAATGGTGCACGGCACAGTCGGACCTATGGGCCAAGAGAACACCCTTCAAGAACGTGGGACCCTCCGTGGGCCAGAACAAACGGGACATCCAAAGGGTGCCCTCCCGAGGCTGCGCAAGCACATCCGACACACTCGAAGGACTCTGGGGGGTAGCCTCCCCGGGCCGACCTCGACCTTAACACCTCGGCCCCACTGTACCACGCCTGGGGTCGAGGGCCGACGGCGTCTCGCAGTGCCGTCGGCGGGCCGTGGCCCCCCTGGCCTGCCCCCCTCCTCTGCCCGCGGCCGTCGGCAACGCACCACCAGCCCGGTTCGGCGCGCCCAGCCCGGGTCAGCCAGGGCTGCGTTGCCAACCCAGGCCGGCCACGGAGTAAACCCGGACTCGGCGGCGAGCGAGGGGGGGGGGGGGAAGTGAGAAGGAGGAGGCCTTCCCACAGGGCGGCGGGGCTTCTCAGAAGCCCGCGGGCCTTCTGAGGGGTCTTCTGTGCATTCGGGGAAAGGGCTTCGAAGGCTTCTCAGATGGCCCACGGACTTCCGAGCCTCCTGAGGAGGCCCGCCCCTTCCCATCTCCCCCTCTCGCTCGCCGCCAACAGACATGCGATGCCCTCATTCTTTCGATACGGGGCCCGCGGAACTTGCGACCCTTTCCTCAGGACCCGGTTTTCATCCCGTGCCGTTCTTCAACGGTCCTGGGGCTCGGCGAGGGCCCTCGGAGGCCGCAGAGGGCCGAAAACCACCCGCCGTGTCTTTTGTTGTTGCGACGACGAGAGCACGTCCGGGAATGCCCCCCAGACCCGGGTCAGCGGAGGGCGGAGGAGAGGGTCCGAGGAGAGCGGGGTCGGCGCTGGGCCAGCCTCACTGCTGCTGTCTGACGAGCTGGGCCCGTGCTGAGGAGCACGGCTCCTGGGACTCCAGCGCCCGCGAATCAGCGTGACCGCTGCGTCAATCGGCGGTGGACAGACCTCCCTTTAGTAGACCTGCCCTTAGTGAAAACGGCCTGGGACCGAAACCGACGGACCTGGACCCGCAGAGATGACGGCCGCGACGCCCTCTCGCGAACCGAAGACGGCCAATTCCTTACTCGACGTGTCAGGGTAGGAGGTCTGTCCACCTCCGAGTCAAATCTTGGGCCTTCGGCCAGCCAGGCCGCCCCTCGGGGCATCCCCCGCCCCGCCCGCCCCGCCCGCGGCAGCCCGCGTGCGATGCCCCCTCCGCCGAGTCCCCGGCCGCCTGCGAGGCTGGCCTCCCGCCGCCGCGCCGTGTCGCGGCCGCCTTCCCGGGCCTCCTCGGCCGGGGTCGGGGGGGGGGGTCGGAGGAGGGCTGGCTGAAGCCCAGGCGTCTGGTGCTCCTCCTCCTCCTCCCTCTCCTCCTCCTCCTCCTCCGCCTCCTCCTCCGCCTCCTCCGCCTCCTCCTCCTCCTCCTCCTCCTCCTCCTCCTCCTCCTCCTCCTCCTCTGTCCCTCCATCGGGAGGGGCTCCTCCTGCTTTGTTGACGCTGTTCGGAGCAGGGCCCGCTGGCACCGAAGCGTCTGCTGCTGCTGCTGCTGCTGCTGCTGCTGGTCCTCCGTGGCTACCTCTCCTCCTCCTCCAGCCCCTCCTCGACCTGAGGGCGGCGGGAATGTAGCCAGGGGCATCCGGCGGGGATGGCCCCAGGGGGGCTGGGGGAGCCCGCGTCTTTCTCCCATAGCCTCTCCTCCCCCATCCTGCGTCTGCGCCCCCAGCCGTGTTGGGTAGGGCGGGCCAGGCGCGTCGCCGGAGACCTCTCCGCCATCCATGACCCTGGAGCTTGATACTTGAACCAATGTACGGCAGGTTCGTGTCGTGCCGACACCAGCGTTGGTTTTTGACACCGTAGGGATCATTCAACCTTGAACGATCGGCCGCTGCCGCAACGTCCGATCGTTCAACATCGATCGATTCTGGGTCGCCGGCGGCGTTCAACCTTGAACGCCCGCGCTGGGGTCGCCGCTGGTCGACACGACGCAAACCTACCGTACGGGTGGAAGGCGGCCTGGTTTCAAACTGTGGATCTCGCCCTCGCGCCGCGCACATTCGCCTTACGAGCGTGCAAAAGTGTCAGGGATGCACGGCGGACCGTTCCCAAAATGTGGATGTCGCCTTAGCGCCGCGCGCATTCGTCTTAACAGATTGCAGCATCTTCGCAGATGAAGGGCGGGCCGTTTTCAAAATGTCACTGTCGGCTTAGCGCCGCCCACATTCAACAGAGAGTTCGCAGCCGTTTCAAGGATGGAGGGCGGTTCCTTTCCAACATGCTGTTCTCGCCTCAGCGCCGCGCGCATTCGTCTTTCCAAGTTAGCACCGTGTTCAAGGGTTCGTAGGGTTGAAATCCAAAGAAATGTTCTCTGGCACGTGCGAAGAGTGTCAGGACGCAACAGTCATGTTGACCCGCGCTGATCTGACACGACTTAGGTTTGTCAGGACGCAAGAATCACGTCGATTCGCGGCGCTGCAATCCCAGGAACTCTGACTTGGCAAGGCTGAGGACCCTCATACAGTTTTCGGGGCAGTTCCTACAGTGAAGATAGAAGTCTTGCAGTAACCTATGAAGAGAAACTTTGAGGGAGGGTTAATTGAACCATCGTTGGTGCGTCTTGGGTTGGCTCTGCTCGTCGTCGTCCTCCTCCTCCTCCTCCTCCTCTTCCTCCTCCTCCTCCACCCGTCGCCTGTCCCTCGGGCTCCTCCTCCACCTGCTCCTCATTTCTCCCGTTGGTGTTCCCCCTCGCGCTCATCCTCCACAATTACACCATATGAATACTACACTCCTCTCTCCCCTGATGACGTCAGGAAAGTATCCGGCCCCCCGCGTACTGTTTTTTTACACGCGGAATTCCCAGAAAATGGGTTTGCGCTTGGGCGTGTTTCCAAAATGTTGCTCCCGCTGGAGCGCTGGCCCCATTTCTGCGCCTCTGGTTGTCTCAAATCGCGCTCCCGCTGCAGCGCCGACGTTTTGGGTTCTCCCAAATAGGCCCCACGATTTAGAAAATGCACCCCCGAACAAACAATCGGAGGTGATTACACATTCGGTGTCGATTCGTTGATTTTTAGGCCGCAGAAACCCCTCTCCATTCAGGCGTCGTCACTTTCACGAAAAATCAAGCGGGAGCCCCGTTTCTGCCTTGAGAAAATAAAAGATGTTGAAAGTAGAGTCAGCGGGTGCTCTCCATCGGTCCCGCCTTGTGTCCAGCTTTTCGGGGAGCCCAACGAGCTAGACATGAAGCCACGACTCCAGACCGGCCCAGACCTCTCGAAGAAGATCCACTTACCCTCCAAGGAACCCGGCGCCATGCCATGACATGCTGTGCGGTGTTATGTTCTGCGCCGCTGTGCGATGCCATGCTTTGCGTTGCAATGCTTTATGATGCAATGCTTATTCACTGCGTAATGCCACGCCATGCTATGGCATGCTACGCTCTGCCGTGCTCTTCTACGCCATGCCATGCCGTGCTCGACCATGCATCGCGTACCCTCTCACGAGCATTGCCCTGCTCGACATCCGACTGTGCGAATAGAGATGACATCTGCGCCACGGTAAGGGATGGGAGGACGAGATAGGACGTCAGATATGACGCGAGCACACCCAGCTTGTCCTCCTCCTCCTCCTCCTCCTCCACCTCCTCCCCCTTCTCCTCCTCCCCCTGCCACTCGTGCCACTCCATTCCACCTCGCTGCACTGCACCTTCCTCGCCTTCCCCCTGCATGCGGGCGCTCCTCGACGAGGACCCGGCCGGGACCCGCGTCCGGCGGCGCGTCGCACCAGGGCAGCCCGTGGCACTGGCCGCAACTGCGGACGGCGCCGGGCAGGGATCGACGCAGGGCGCAGCGCAGTCGCCGTCGCAAATGCCAGCGGCAACAGCGGAGGAGGAGGAGGGGGAGGAGGAGGAGGAGGAGGAGGAGGAGGAGGAGGAGGAGGAGGAGGCAGACAGAGGATGGGACGAGGGAGGAGGGGGCAGGGAGAGTGAAGGAGAGAGGTTGGGGAGGGGGGGGTCGAGGGATGCTTCGCCGGAGCAGCAGAGGCGGGAGGGGGAGCAGGGGTCGGGGCGGGAAGGCCCCGCTCTCTCTCTCTCTCTCGCAGTTCCAGGGGCCTGGTGGGTAGCGGCTGCGAGCGGTGGGAGAAAGGGGGGAGGGTGCGGGGGCACTGGAAAGCTGGAAAGCAAGCTGGGAGGGAGGCGGAGGGGGGGGTGCGAGGGGAAGCGGGG